ATCTCAGAAAGGATACACAAGAAATTATTAACGCTTACTGAGGAGGGGAATCAGGCTTAGGAGACTTCATTATGTACACTATGATCCCTTTTGAATTTTGAGCAATGTGAATGTATTACCTATTCAAATAACATAAATTTAACAGTAAAGCTTGAGAATTATAATTATAATCCTTATAATTATAAGGATTATGAGGGATCTACACCTGGCTATTACCACATTCCATGCGCTAGTTTATGTCTCTCTCATACCTACTACCTGTAAGGATAACACATACATTATATTCAGACTAATGTATGTCACTCAAAGTCACTAGGCAAACATTTTATGAGAAAAATAATATCCACAATAAATTTATTGCCTACTTCTAGAAGGTATGTCACATGGACTAGTGTTTGGACTTTGTATACTTTGATCTTCAAAAGCTAAACCTGGGACTTACCTGGTGGCGCAGTGGTTAAGAACCTGCCTGCTAATGCAAGTTATATGGGTTCGAGCTCTGGTGGAGGAAGATCCCACATGCCGCGGAGCAACTAAGCCGGCGTGCCATAACTACTGAGCCTGCGTTCTAGAGCCTGTAAGCCACAACTACTGAGCCTGAGTGCTACAACTGCTGAAGCCCACACGACTAGAGCCCGTGCTCTGCAACAGGAGAAGCCACCGCAATGAGAAACCTAAGCACCGCGTCGAAGAGTAGTCCCCGCTCGCTAGAGAAAGACTGTGCGCAGCAACGAAGACCCAATGCGGTCATTAATTAATTATTTTTTTAAAAAGCTAAGCCTAAGAATAGTTCAATGACTCACCCAAGATCACTGGAGGAGTAAATTGTGGTGCTGGAATTTGATTTAGGCTTGCACTATACTAAGGCCCCTCATCTTTTTCAGTATATCCTAAGCTTTTTAGGGCACAGTGCCGACATTAAAATTGGGAGCCCCTTTTAGAGCTCATTAAAATCATCTGACTTCAGAGTTTGCAGCCTAGTCCCACTAAGAAAGCCGAACTGCTCTGAACAAAGACCAGGGCAAAGACAACATCCACTGCAGCTCCCACAAACCCAGTAAGAACCTGGGCCCTGAGGATACAGGTGAATTAAAACTGACTAGTCTGAACTCCTCCTCCCAAGATCTACCCTCTCACTAAGGGAGACAGAAGTCAAAACAGCATTGAGATAATAATAGTACATTTTCCTCCAAGCAAAATGAATCCAGGCATTTTGCAGAAACACCATGTACATGAAGCAGAGTCTACTGTTCCTAGGTCACCCTGTTTCGGAGAAGGAAGGCAGACCCAGTCCAGCAGAGGCCCACGTGGAAACAAGCCAGGCAGATCATTTCACTTCCTTTCTCCAATCTGCACACAGCCAAAGTTAATCGCCTTGTAGCTCACCCACACTCCAAGGCTGGCTTGAAATAAAGGCCTGCTACCAGGATACAATGGCTCAAATTGAAGAGAAATTCAAAACAATTAGGAAGCAAAATTAAGTGCATACTCACCAGCCACCACTAAAAGGAAAGAGAGAAGGTGGAGAGACAGGAAGTAGCTTTGAGAAGTGGCCTCAGAGCCTGATTGGCTAATGATGATTCCCTCCTCCTTTACCTTAAAAGGTGCTGAAATGATGAAACCCCCCCCCCCACTTCCCCTACTTGACTCTTTAAGGACCAATGATCCTACTTGCACTGTTTTCATTTTTTTTTTTTTTTTTTTTTTTTGGCGGTCCGCGGGCCTCTCACTGTTGTGGCCTCTCCCGTTGCGGAGCACAGGCTCCGGACGCGCAGGCTCAGCGGCCATGGCTCACGGGCCCAGCCGCTCCGCGGCATGTGGGATCCTCCCGAACCGGGGCACGAACCCGTGTTTCCTGCATCGGCAGGCGGACTCCCAACCACCGCACCACCAGGGAAGCCCACTTGCACTGTTTTCAGATTAAACTTTTTAAACCAAGTTTCCTTTTAATATACTTAGCACAAGCAAACATGGGCTAATTCGAGCTATTTACACACGTTCTTGTTCAGTTGGACCTACTGCAAACAATTTTCATTCCTTTGGGATAATTTCATATCCTTTGTGACCTCAACATGGTTAATTTATGCAAGGTGACAGGTTTCATTATAAACAGTCTAGATCTACTCAAGTTAGAACTTACCATCAGGGTAATATTCAAGTTAACAGGCTTAGCAGAAAAGATACTGGAAGAAGACATCCACCTGCAATCCAAGGAGAAAGGATTTATAAGAAAGCCACACTGGGGCTTCCCTGCTGTCGCAGTGGTTGAGAATCCGCCTGCCAATGCAGAGGACACGGGTGAAGATCCTAAATGCCGTGGAGCAACAAAGCCCGTGCACCACTACTGAGCTCTGCACTCTAGAGCCCGCGAGCCACAACTACTGAAGCCCACGCACCTAGAGCCCGTGCTCCGCAACAAGAGAAAGCACCGCCAGCGCACCGCAACGGAGAGTACCCCCCACTCACCACAACTAGAGAAAAGCCCGCGCGCAGCAACGAAGACCCAACGCAGCCAATAATTAATAATTAATTAATTTAAAAAAAGAAAGAAACCCACACTGCCGACACCTTTATCTTGGACTTACAGCCTTCAGAATTTTGAGAAAGTAAATTTTTGCTGCTTGAGCAACCCAGTCTGTACTTCTTGTTATGGCAGCCCTAGCAAACCAATACACTGTGTGACCTTAAATAAATTACTTACATTTTTCTAAAGTTCAATTTCCTCAACTGTAAAATGGAGATAGTAATAATACCTGCCCTGTAAGGTTGTTGTGAGAATTGTAAAGCTCATAGCATAGTAAGCACTAAATAAATTCTAGCTATTATCATTATAAAGATTAAATGAGGTTATGCATGTAGAGAGCACTTAGCTCAATGTCTATTACACAAAGAAAGTTCTACTCAGTATTAACTATTTTTAATAAACTGATTTTTATTGTCTTCCTATTTCCAAATTAATGCCTTTTAGACCAGTCTAGTTTGTGCCATAATTAAGTCAGATGCAACAGGCTTTGACATAGCTCAGAAACAGATTAACCAATCCCATCCAATCCAACAAACATTTGTTGAACACTTACATTTTGTTAGATTTATTCCTAAGTACTTGATATGCTTTTATGTTATTATAAGTGGTATCTTTCCTAAAAATTCTGTTTCTCCTTGTTTGAAGCTCTTTTATAAAGATAAAATTTACTCTTACATGTTACTTTCTAGCAGCCTTGCTAAGCTTCCTTATTGAGTTAAAAAATTTATCCCCCAGTTTCTTCTGGATTTTTTATCCATAATCAAACCACATGCAAATAATGAGAAAAAATTATTTTCTTCTTTCTAAACTTTACATGTTTTGGTGAACAAAATTTCTCAATTTTAATATAATTAAATTTATCAATATTTTCTCTCATACTTTAGAAACCCGTCCCTTCATCTCAAGGTCTAAAAGATATTTATGTGTATTTTCTGTAAATTTTACTGAAGTATAGTTGATTTACAACGTTGTGTTAATTTCTGCTGTACAGAAAAGTGACTCAGTTATAGATACATATTTTTTCATGTTCTTTTACCATTATGGTTTATCACAGGATATTGAATATAATGTTCCCTGTGCTATACCATTGGACCTTGTTGTTTATCCATCCTATATATATGTTTGCATCTGTTAATGGCAAACTCCCAATCCTTCCCTCCCCCACCTCTCTTCCCCTTGGCAACCACAAGTCTGTCCTCTATGTCTTTTACGTGTATTTTCTACCTAAGAGTTTTCAAGTTTATTTTTGAATGTCAGCCCTTAATCCATCTGTAGTTCACACACACACACACACACACACACACACATACCCGTATTAGAACAAATCACAATTCTAGCCTTGACCTGGAAAGCCTGGCTTGCTGTGGGCCCTGGCTGCCTCTCCAGCTCGTCTCACACCACACTTCCCGCTTTCATTGCTCCAGCCACTCCGTGTCTCTTCTCTTTACTTACTGATTCTTCTGATACAGCTCAACTCCTGTCATTTACTTAGTGATGAGTTCCCCAGTTTGTTCTCCCATTAGAACTTCCCTTAGTACTGTGTATTTCTTATAGTGCTTGTTGCTGCTGTACTTTTGCTTGTGTAATTACTTGATTAATGTCTGTCCCCAACTAGACTCTAAGGTCCATGAAGACATGAACCATGTCTATTTTGGCTAAACTACCATATCCCCAGAACCCACCAAGGTGTCCAATAAATATGAAGTAATGAATAAATATCAATCATCTACATGAAAATCACCAATACACTGGTTGTTCTTGTTAAAAATGCACACTCTCCGTTTTTAATTCAGAGGGTCTGAGACACAGCTTCACGGATATGCTCCCAGCGGGGTGGTGGTACCCACCTTTTCTAAGATTCACTTGGCCAGGTTTTCCGAGTTCATTCCCATTCTCTGTAGCTTCCCCAGACTAAAATAGGACGGGGGGGAGAGTAGTCTGAATTGGGTTATGAGGCCCCCTTACGGGGTACTTCACCTCAGCCATTGAACTCACTTCGCTGGCCGTGAGTCTGTTCCAAGCTCCGGCTAGGGAGGCATCCGCCAGGCCCCTCCGCAAGGGCGGGGTCGATGGCATCTCCTGCCCAGTCTGCCCTCGCACGGAGCCCCGTTCTCTGGGAACTCACCTCCCCGAAACTCAGGGAGAGCCCTGTTAGGGCCGCTCTTGGCCCTAGTCTCAGACCTTCCCAAGGGACATGGGGTGGAGTGACTACGCGCACTCAGCTCGTGGCCCCATCGATGAGCTTCCCGCCGCCCTGTGGCGAAAAACTAGTTTAGTCCACATTTATAAGGCTCCCAAACCTAAATACATTTGTCGGTTATGGTGACTTCCCGCAACACATTGCGACATGCAAATACTGCGGAGCGTTCCTCCCCTGGCAACTCCTCGCTGGGACGCACGCGCGCTACGTGATCCCGCCTTTTGGCTGCGCCGGCGATACTTGGGAGAGGGTTGATGACGTCAGCGTTCTGGCTCCATGGCAGCTCGGCGGCGGCGGCGGCGGCGGCGGGGGACAGGCGGCAGCCGGGCGCGAGGTTTGGAGTGCATTGTGGGGGGCAGAAGGCTGGGGGGCGGGAAGTTGGAAAAGGAACGGTCCCCTGTGCTATAGCCCTTCCTACTTCCATCGCCACCTGAACCAGCACTTGTCTTGGTACCGAACTTTGAAATTTTCTGTTCTCAAGAGCTTTTGGGATTACAGAACTGTGTATAACAGCTTGTTGACCTGTAATAACTAAGTGCCAGCACTATCTTAAATACCTAATGTCATCCAGTTAAAAAAAATTGTCAGGTGCATCATTGTTTTATGTACCACTAAGCAAGGAGAAACGCTTCCAATTAAAACATGATTCACTACTTATAAGTCATCCACGGTAAAATGCATCCCAGTTTCAGTGATAATAAAATGCAACTCTTAGAACTGACTTATGATGAGATATCATACTCTGTGTATTGTGTTCTTACGTGCATAGATCCACCCCATAAATTCGGTACTGTGTTGTCTTCCTCTGGATTTATCAGTTGGGTCAACTGAGGTACTAAGAGATGAAATAACTTCTACGCGATTAAACAGCTGAAAAAGACGGGGCTGGGCTCTAAGTTAGGCACAGACTCCAGAGCACTCTAGTAACCATTATCTCATACCACCTTAGGTAGTTTGAGGATAGATATTTGGGTGGTATTGGGGCACAAGTAAACGGAAGAGATAAGCAGGCTATGAGACTCATGCCTCAGGCCATGAGCTCACCTCAAGGCTCCATTTTGCTTTGTTTAGTTTTATGTGGCTAGAATAGCAATTCAGGAACTCACACTGTTTTCAAGAACAGTGGTGTGGCAGTTATTTCTTTGTAAATTTACAAAACCACCTCAATCTATTTCTTTAAAAAGATGTTTTTTCAAAGTAGCATCATATTCAGTGTGTACTCATTCTTTCTTTTGCTTCTTTGCCCATGCTTTTGCCCATTCTGTATCACTGAATGAAGCTGAAAGAGTTAATCATGGCAAAACAGCTACAGAAGACCCTCCACCTGCAAAGAAAATTCGAAAATGCCAGAAGATGAAAAAGGAGCCTGTGGCTGGAGGAAAGGCTGATAATGACAGGATGGAAAACAAGCAAGGTCAGCTCCCCAACATACATAGGCCAGGGAGCACCTGGGCCAGCAAGGGGTCTCTGGGAGGGGTGAGGGTCGGGGGGTGGTATCTTGTTTTTTCAACTCTTATTTCTTCCTTTCTTGAAGATATAATTAACTTTCTATCTTTTGGGCATACCACAGGACTAAACTACTTTCTCAAAATCTTCAGTTTCCTGTATTTGAGATGAACTGAGACCTGGGCAGATCAGGAGTGCTTGGGAAGGGTAAAGTTAATTATGACAGGTTTCTGTCTAACCATGACAGATATTTTTGATTCCCATACAAGTAGATGTGGTACATATCTGTCTTTCCTCAGAGTCTGTGAAGACCTTGCTGTTAAAGGGCAAAGCTCCAGTGGACCCAGAGTGCACAGCCAAGGTGGGGAAGGTGAGAGACTCCCATTGATTTCTCAGGGAGCAGTTGTTCGTTTGTTATTGAGATTCCTGTCTGGAACATTGCTAGTATCCATTTTAGGAATGCTCTGCAAAATATTACTAGTGATTAACTCTCTCCAAGGCTGAGTGATGGCAGGGGTGGGGTTTGGGGGTAATCATCAGGGTGATTTTTGGCATGGTTAACTTCCGGAGTCGTCATCAGCTTTCCACACCTCATTCTCTTTCTCAGTTAGAAAATTGTATCATTATCAATGTTCTAATGAGAAACTGCCCTGGTATGTATGGCATGAGTTACTGATGAATGGGAAAAGGATTTGAAGAATACAGAAGTGCTTCCTCTGGAACAGGTTTCCTTTAACTGAGTTAGACTGATTTGTATTTCTGTAATTACAAAAAGGCAACATGTTTTCATCATAGAATGATAGTTTATGTGTAGAAGAACGTACTTTTGCATTTCTTTCCCTGGAAGATGCATGTTGGTAGAGTGGGAGAATATTACCTCGAGGCATAAGAAAATTTAGAGCCTCGCTTAGGATCTCATCAGGGCTGTGACTGTACAAATGTCACTTTTTTTCTTTTCTCTCTAGGCCCATGTATACTGTGAAGGAAATGATGTCTATGATGTCATGCTAAATCAGGTAAGGGAAGAAACTATTTTATTTATGAGAATTTCTTCTTGATAATTATTGTTGACAGTGTCCCAGTGCCCAAATCTTTAATTCTGAAGTCCCTTATATTAGCCCCTAGGGGGTTCATACTCCCAAGTACTCAGCCCTAGTGCACTCTACCTGATTGATAGTGGAGTCCTCTATGAAAAGCAGATCTTTTAGCAGATTTTATGTCTTTTATTGAACCTATGAACCCTCTGTTCATATCATTTTGCACATTTTCTGATAGGTTGTTGGTCTTTTTTCTTATGGGCTTTGAGGAACTTTATATAATGTGGAGGATAGTCCTTTGTCTATAATATAAATTGCTTATATATTTTCCAAATTTGTCATTTGCCTTTTGATTTTCCTTATGGTATACTTTTTGCCCTTACTGAAGTTTTACATTTTTATGTAGTTAAATTTATTTATTTTTTTAAATTTACTTTTTATTGAGGTAACATTGGTTTATAACATTGGTTTATAACATTATATAAATTTCACATGTACAACATTAGATTTCTACTTCTGTAAGCACTACAGGGTGCTCACCACCGAAAATTTAGTTCCCATTTGTCACCATACAGTTCTGTATGCTCATCAGAGATATGGGTCTCTAATTTTCTTTTTTGTGTTGTCCTTGTCTGGTTTTGGTATCAGGGTAATGTTTTGTTTTGAGGGAGGTTTTTAAATTACTATTTCAGTCTCTTTACTAGGGTTTGGTCTATTCACATTTTCTATTTCTTTATGATTTAGTCTTGGAAGGTTGTATGATTCTAAGATTTGTCCATTTCTTCTAGGTTGTCCAGTTGTTGGCATATAGCTAGTCATAATATTCTTTTATAATCCTTTGTATTTCTGTGGTACTCATTGTTATTTCCCCTCTTTCATTTCTGATTTTATTTATCAGAGCCTTATCTCTTTCTTTTCTGAGTCTAGCTAAAAGTTTGTCAATTTTGTTTATCTTTTCAAAGAACCAGCTGTTAGTTTCATTGATCTTTACTATTGTCTTTTTAGTCTCTATTTCATTTATTCCTACTCTGATCTTTATTATTTCCTTCCTTCTGCTGACTTTGGGCTTCATTTGCTCTTTTTCTGGTTCCCTTAGGTGTGAAGTTAGATTGTTTATTCAGGATTTTTCTTGTTTCTTGAGGTAGGCCTGTATTGCTTTAAATTTCCCTTTTAATACCACTTTTGCTGCATCCCATATATTTTGGTATGTCTTATTTTCATTTCATCTTCAGTATTTTTAATTTCCCCTTTGATTTCTTTGTTGACCCAGTATTTGTTCAGTAGCATGTTGTTCAGTCTCCACATATTTGTGATTTTTCCAGCTTTCTTCTTGTAGTTGATTTCTACATTGTTGTAGTAGTTTCATGTGATCAGAAAAGATTTTTGATACGATTTCAGTCTTCTTATATTTATTGAGACCTGTTTTGTACCTCAACATATCAATACGATCTATTTTTGAGAAAGTTCCTTGTGCACTCGAGAAGAATGTGTATTCTGCTGCACTTAGATACAGTGTTCTGTACAAATCTATCAAATCTATCTGATCTAATGTTTCATTTAAGGCTGCTGTTCCCTTATTAACTTTCTATCTGGATGATCTATCCATTGATGTAATTTGGGTGTTAAAAGTCCCCAACTATTATTATGTTGCTGTCAGTTTCTTCCTTTAGGTCTGTTAATAATTGCTTTATATATTTTGGTGCTCCTGAATTAGGTGTACATATATTGAAAAACTTGTCTTCTTAATGAATTGTCCCCTTTGTCATTATGTAATGTCCATCTTTGTCTCTTGTTAACTTTTTTTCTTGATGTGTATTTTGCCTGATGTGAGTATTAATTATACCTGCTTTCTTTTGGCTGCCATTTGCTTGGAGTATCATCTTCCATCCCTTCACTTTGAGCCTGTTTGTCTTTAGAGTTGAGCTGAGTCTCCTGGAGGCAGCATATAGGTGGATCTTATTTTTTAATCCATCCAGCCACTCTGTGTTTTTTGTGGGGTTTTTTTGGTTTTTTATTTATTTATTTTATTTTTTGGCCGCATTGGGTCTTCGTTGCTGCGTGCGGGCTTTCTCTAGTTGCAGCGAGTGGGGGCTACTCTTCATTGCCGTGCGCAGGCTTCTCATTGTGGTGGCTTCTCTTGTGGAGCATGGGCTCTAGGCATGTGGGCTTCAGTAGTTGTGGCATGCGGGCTCAGTAGTTGTGGCTCACGGGCTCTAGAGCACAGGCTCAGTAGTTGTGGTGCACGGGCTTAGTTGCTCTGCAGCATGTGGGATCTTCCCGGACCAGGGCTCGAACCCGTGTCCCCTGCAGGCAGATTCTTAACCACTGCGCCACCAGGGAAGCCCCACTCTGTGTCTTCTGATTGGTGAATTCAATACATTTACATTTAGGATGATTATTGATAGATGAAGACTTAGTATTGCCATTTCATCTTTTGTTTTCTGGTTGTTCTATATCTCCGTTGTTTCTTTTTCCTTGTGTTTCTGTTTGCCAGTTTGGTTTGGTGGTTTTCTATGATGTCTTTCTCAGTTTCCTTTTTTTTAATGTTTAGTACCTCTGCTCTGGATTTATGCTCTGTGGTTATCATGAGGTTTGTATAAATGTCTCTTAGATAAAATAGTCCTTTCTCTGCTGATAGCATCTTCATTTGACTATATGGCTTCCATCCTCTTCCTCTTCCCCTTTTATGTATTTGTTGTCTCAAATTATCCCTTTTTATGTTGTAAGTTTGTTACCAAATTGAAGTAGCTATAGTTGTTTTTTCTGCTTTTTTCCCCTTTAATCGTTATGCTGTTTAAACCTATTCTGATAGAGTTGCAATTTTCTGATTCTGTTTATCACCTTACTCAAAGTTTTGTGTACCTTTGTCTTTTTCTTTCAAGTAGAAGAGCTCCTTTCAACATTTCTTGTAAAGCAGGTGTAGTGGTGATGAACTCTCTCAACTTTTGTTTGTTTGGGAAAGCCTTTTTTCTCCTTCATATCTGAATGATAACTTTGCTAGGTAGAGTATTCTTGGCTAACAGTTTTTATCTTTCAGTATTTTGAGAATGTCATTCCACTCCTCTAGAGTTTCTTCTGAAAAATCTTCTGCTAGCCTAATGGGGATTCCTTTATAGGTGATCATACTTTTTTCTCTGGCTGCCTTTAAAACTCTTCTTTTATCATCTACTTTTGACAGTCTTAATATAATGTGCCCTGGAGAAAATCTTTTTGTGTTGAGGGAATTAGATGCTCTCTTAGCTTCATGGAGTGGTCTATCAATTTTCTTCCCCAGGTTTGGGAAGTTCTCAGCTATTATTTCTTTCTGCTTGGTTCTTTTATAGTTTTAATCTCGTCAGAAAAGTATTCCTTCTGTTCATTAATTTTATTCCTGAGCTCATTGAACTGCCTTTCTGAGTTTTCTTTTAGCTCATTGAGCTTTTTCATGACAGTTATTTTGTATTCTCTATCAGTTAGATCACAATATTTCGTGACTTTAAGTTTGGTTTCTGGAAAATTGTCACTTTCTTTTCATGATACACTGTAACTGTGGTTCTTTGTGGTGTTTGATGAGTTGTTCCTCTGCCAGTACGTCTGAAGTAGCAAACACCGCTCTTCTTTAGGTAAAGCTTTTTTTAAAATCTTGATTCTGAGGATTCAACAGGTTAGAAATTAGAGGCCTTTCTTTTGTTTTCCAGTAGGTGGCGCTGTAACACAAGTTTTTGGTTTCTCTTATCGGACCTGCCTCTAGTTAAATTTGAGAGCACTTTCCACCCTCCACCACCTCTGTCAGGGGTCACCCGGTGCCCTCCTTATCACTGCTGTGCCTCCAAGGTCATTGGTGCTTTGCTGCTGCTGCTGTCACTGGCGTCACCACCTGGGGCACCCGGATGGCAGGAGCCTCCGTTTGTCTGGGATCTCCTAAGACACAGGAGAAGGTGCGGGGAGCCGGGTCGCCACTGCCTCTGAGTTGTCTGGTATTGTTGTGTTCAGCCGGGAGCTGCCACTGAGGGTGAAGGTGCAGGGGCCAGAGTCACGGGCCCTCCATGGCTCCCCTGTCACTGCTGCCCAGTTACCTGTGGCTGCCAGCACCACTGCAGCCAGGACGCCAGAGTCCTGTGCACCGCCTCACCTGCTGCTGCCAGGTTCTCTGGGGGCACGGAATCGCGGGCACCGCCTCCACTGTTGCCCTGGTTCCACCTCCTCTATGTGTCCCAGTCCACCCACCTTTAGATGTACAGATGTGTGGAAATCTCTGGCACCCTGGAGTGTAAGACAGAGGCATCTTTGTTGAGTTGTGGATTTTTTTTACTGGTTGTAGATTGAAGGGGAGAGATGAAGGGAGCATCTTTTCTCCACCATGATGCTGATATCCAATTTTTTCTTTTTAATCTTTTTTCTCTTTGTTTATTTTTGTTGTTTTGGATAGATACTACCCCTGCCTGGTTAATGTATAGATACTACCCCTGCCTGGTTAATGTATAGATACTACCCCTGCCTGGTTAATGTATTTCCTGAATATGTCTTCATATTTGAATGGATTGATCTATCATATATACTTTTAACAGCTACCTAGTATTCTTTTATTACCACTTTTTTCAGTTAAAATATCCTGAGCAGATAGGAAAGATCCTAAGGCCCCTTTTTGTTCTACCATCTGCGACTTTATAATGTGAGCAGACATGAGGTAGGCACAGGAAAAACACTTAACAAAGAAGACTGCCTTGATGACCAGGGCTTGGCCTTACAGCACAACTGCTGTTCCTTATCATGGACTGCTCATTCTCTTCACTCAGAGTAAGTTACTCACAGGATACCACTTTTTAGATACTAGTCACATTTTCTCTAAATGTCTCCAGCTCAGGTCACGTTAGGTACGGGGCAGATGTGGCAGTGGTTTCTGCCTGTCCTCCCTCCCCTCCTAACATCCTGCTCTCAGCTCATTGTCAGATTGCTGCAGCTGACAAACCAGAGCAGTAAGTGGAACTATTGAAGAATAAGTTGTCTAAACAAACAAGCATAATAGTTACAGATCTTTGGGGCATCAAAATTGTTTTCCCTTGGAAAATAATTATTGGGAATGGATTGGGAGCTGGAAAATACATATGGTCTCGGAAACATCTATGGAGGGAAGTGATGATATCTGAGGTTGGGTAGAGGTTTTAGGAAGTGTCCAGCCTTTAATTCCTAGGAACTCAAAGTTTAATATAGAAACCCTTTTCCTCCTTTCTTATATCCTTACTCTTACATGAACCTAATTTTCTTGTCCCTTGCTGTCCTTTCCTCATGGCAATTACTGGTACCTGTGACCAAGGAAGAGTCATTAGTTTATGTAGCTTCCATTTGCAAACTTCTGTCCTTTTATGTTCATATTTCTATCATCGTAGACCAATCTCCAGTTCAACAACAACAAGTATTATCTGATCCAGCTGTTAGAAGATGATGCACAGAGGAACTTCAGTGTTTGGATGAGATGGGGCCGAGGTAATGACTTTTTTTGTGGATTTTATGAATTATTATTCAGAAAGCCAAAAGCAACCAAGTGAGTAGCCAAAGGATCCTCTGGGTTTAAATTGGTGAAGTGGAGTTTCTATAACCTGTCAGAGGCTGAGGAATCAAACTGTGCTGCCTGAAATTGGCCAGCATCCTCGTTTGCAAGTTCCCATCGGAAAAACTACTAGCAGCCTGTTGAGGCTGAGAACTCTCCTGCACTTGGGCTGCTAGTGCCGTTCAGAGGCAACAGGATCAGTTCCCTAAGCCCTTTCACCTTTTCCTTCTTCCCTTCCTGCCCATTTGTCAGATGCTAAGCGGAGAAACCTTAGAGAGCTGGCTTGTTGCTATCAGAGAACTGTTCTTGGGTTGGGGGGCAGAGAACCATCTTACATGTGGCATTTACTTTGCAGTTGGGAAAATGGGGCAGCACAGCTTGGTGGCTTGTTCTGGGGACCTCAGCAAGGCCAAGGAAATCTTTCAAAAGAAGTGAGTGCTAAGAAATGAGTACAAAAAATATACCCTTCGTCTTCTTGGATATCTCTTCTTTAAGAATTTTATAGTAAGTGTGATCTGGCCTAAATGATAATGTCTTTCCACTGTGACACTGTGTGATCGGAACACCAAATTGCATCCTCAGTTAGTGATTAAGTCACCTGGAACCATGAAATTGACTAAAAAGAGAAGAGGCTAATATATTCAGCACGTGACCAACAATTTAGGAAATTTGGGGAAAATGAGATGAGACTATTCAGCTACAGTTTGAAAAATTATTTTACTATGATATGAAAAACTTTCTGGAGTCTCTGGGAATGTTTCTTTCAGAGAAAAGGATTGGATAGGGATCTTTTGTCTTAAATCTCAATGACTTTTGTGATGTTTGGGGCCTTTGGGAAGCTCAAGCGTCCTTTTTCCCATTTTTTTTGTTCCCTTTGTCTCTAGAGCTTTTCTGTCCATTCAGGGTCCTAATTCAGAATCCAGATTTATGGAAAATTGATGTTGCAGGAAATAAAAGTTTGAAGATGTTCTTAGGAAATAATTGTAAGCCCATCCCTAGTAGTAGACCCTTGTTTGTAAGATTTTCTCACCACTTTGAACTTTACAGATTCCTTGACAAAACAAAAAATAATTGGGAGGATCGTGAGAAGTTTGAGAAGGTGCCTGGAAAATATGATATGCTACAAATGGACTATACCACCAAAACTCAGGTAAACTCTGACTATATGTTTAGGGAAGAACTCTTTCCTCTTAACCAGGGTGAAGTCTAGCAGAGTGACTTAGATGAGGTCCTAGTCTCTGTTATTTACTAAGGTTCTTATAAAATCTTAGGTCCTGTTTCCAGAAGTTTAATATTATGAATCAAGAGAGGAGTAATAAATAGTCAAACTGATAAAACTACATTTAAAGTTGCCTTCACTTCTAGTTATATACCAGTTTAAAAAAAAAATACTTAATTTTGAATGCTGAGTTATAACCAGGATGCTAAAAGGATCTGTCTTGAAAGCTGTCACATATCTGAAAAATGGAAAACCAGTCTTTTTAAGGTGAGAAGATTTGAGATACAATAGCTTCTTTACATACTTAATGACATATTTGGAGGGCCTTTTAGACTTACTCTGAGTGTTTAACTATGGGAAGCAGAAGTAGGACTAGAAGGTGGAAGTCACACTGAGTACAACTAGGTTAATAATGGAATGGGCCTGTGTTCAAGCAGAGGCCGATGTTGACCTGCCAGGAATATTGTAGAGCCAGTCCTTGCAGGGACTATAAAATAGATCCTTTCAGATTTTATGACTTTTTTTTTTTTTTTGCTGTAGAGTGAAGAGGAAACAAATAAAGGTGAATCTCTCAAATCCCCCCTGAAACCAGAGTCACAGCTAGATCTTCGTGTACAGGAGCTGATAAAGTTGATCTGTAATGTCCAGGCCATGGAAGAGATGATGGTAGAAATGAAATACGATACCAAGAAAGCCCCACTTGGTAGGACTTCAGATTCGATCCTACATTCTCACTTCATATTCTAATTCCTTTACCAGGATATTTTATCACCATCATGATTTAAAGCTTGCTGATATTACTGAATAAAGAAAGACAGATTTGGGGTGAGAGGTTGCATGGGGGGAGGAAGAACAATTTTGAAAGTTGAAAGGTGAGAGTCTTTGTTGGGCAGGGACACAAATACAGTTTACAGGCTGGGACCCTAGTTGTGGAGTCTGATCTCTGGCTGGGTCTGCAGGGAAGCTGACAGTGGCACAAATCAAGGCAGGTTACCAGTCTCTTAAGAAGATTGAGGATTGTATTCGGACTGGCCAGCATGGACGAGCTCTCATTGAAGCATGCAATGAATTCTACACCAGAATACCACATGACTTTGGGTAAGGCCTCTGCTGTTAACTTCACTTTGGTCTTCTGCCCAGCCATATCCCCTACATCACTCATCAGCAACTATAATCCTTTTAATTTTTCATTTCTAAGGAAATGATCATCTTGAATAGCTGTAGAGCAAAAATGATTTATAGATAGCCTATTTAATCAGCTTATGAGTATGGGATGTGATCTCCTGGCCTGATTACAACCATATTCTCTGACAAAGTGGAAGTTACCAACTCAAGAGAGAGTGGGTCTAGCTATCCAACCAACATGTAAAACACCTTCAGGCATATCACCCTGTTTCCTATTCTTTAAGGTGACAGTAACACACTAACACTATTTCTGTGAACTCAAAGGATATTAGGTATATAAAATACATTTTATCTTTGTTGATTCTGCATTCTGGTGCTTACTTTATTTTTAGTCCTTTATTGCTTTATAGAAGCCTGTGACCTAGAAATAACCCCGAGTGGTCAATAGGTATATTTCTGCCTCTAGATAGGACTTCATCCAAACTATTCCTTATTGATGTCAATACATCTTATTTTTATTTATTTTTTAAAATTTTTATTTATTTATTTTTTTCGGTACGCGGGCCTCTCACTGTTGTGGCCTCTCCCGTTGTGGAGCACAGGCTCCGGACGCGCAGGCTCCGGAAGCGCAGGCTCAGCGGCCATGGCTCACGGGCCCAGCCTCTCCGCGGCATGTGGGATTTTCCCGGACCGGGGCACAAACCCGTGTCCCCTGCATCGGCAGGCGGACTCTCAACCACTGCACCATCAAGGAAGCCCCATCTTATTTTTAAAAAGTTCCCATAAAAAGGAATTTTAACTCTAGTCCCAAATGTCAAAATCTATATAGTTTGTTCATTTTATCCTACTCAGAGTATATGCATAATATCTCTTTATACATTTGGGAGTTAAAATCTCTTACAGATCTCTATCAAATGGAAAACCCCAGTTTCTTATAACTATTTTCTAAAGGACCTATCTTTAGTCTGTTATTTTTAGTCATGTGCCTTTGGGCCACACATCAGAGAACTAATTATTGGTTATATCTGTGTCCTAGACTCCGTACCCCTCCATTAATCCGGACAGAGAAAGAACTGTCAGACAAAGTACAGCTACTAGAGGTGAGATATGTGTGGATTGGGAAGTATTACATCTCTTGTCCCAGGTTCCTCCCACACTGATTTTCTGTCTTATCTTGTCAGGCTTTGGGAGACATTGAAATTGCCATTAAACTGGTGAGGACAGAACTGCAAAGCCCAGAACACCCACTGGACCAACACTATAGAAAACTACATTGTGCTTTGCACCCTTTAGACCATGAGAGTTATGAGTTCAAAGTAAGAAAAATGATCATTTATTTTCATAACAAAATAAATGATCCACCCTTCCCCAACCCCCTGTTCTCTGACTACTTCTGGTTAAGAGAAAACCTGAGGGCAGAACTTCTATTTACTAGGAACTGGGAAGGTAGGGCTCTTTCTAGCTGCCCTTGTGAGACCATTTGGGCCAACTTATACCAGAGGCCCTGAGGTTCTTCAGCTCACCGTGGTCTCTTAGAGTCGGCATCAGCCATTTCTTTCATTCTTCTTCACAGGTGATTTCCCAGTACCTACAGTCTACACATGCTCCCACACACAGTGACTATACCATGACCTTGCTGGACGTTTTTCAAGTAGAGAAGGAGGGTGAGAAAGAAGCCTTCAGAGAGGACCTTCATAACAGGTCTCCATTTAGCTTTGGGTTTGGGAAGACATTCCCTTGCCTGAAGCACAGTTATGGAACTTATAGAGAAGGATAGCAGAGACAGCTGTTGGTGTTTTTTTATGCTTATGGCCTATGTTTGCAGGAGAGCAAGAGAGAGTACAATAATATTGGCTTTTCCTTAGGATGCTGCTATGGCATGGTTCCAGGCTGAGTAACTGGGTGGGAATCCTGAGCCACGGGCTTCAAATTGCCCCACCTGAGGCTCCCATCACAGGTTACATGGTGAGTAGAAACTGAACCCTGGAGGTAGGTACAGGGGAAAAGAATACAATTTTCTCAGTCCTTTCCCCCCCCCACCCCGCCACCACCTTTTTTTTCCCCTTGGTTAGGATTAGGTGGCGACCTGGCATTGACTATGACCTTCCTTTCTTAAATTCCTAAGGATATCCCTCCTTTCTCCCCAGAAAGCAGAGAGTCACTGATGCTTCTGCCTTCTCTTGGAACAGAATTGTGAGGGGAAATGGAGAAGGGTCTATATTGTATTTAAGATAATAGAACACAGGGTCAGTGGTATGAGCCTCCCTTCTAACACAATGGGTTAGGCAGTTGACCTTGTTTTTTTTTATTTATATGTTTCAGTTTGGAAAAGGAATCTACTTTGCTGACATGTCTTCCAAGAGTGCCAATTACTGCTTTGCCACTCGCCTAAAGGATACTGGACTGCTGCTCCTGTCAGAGGTAAGGCAGGAACACATCCGTGATTTCTAGTTTATTATTAGTTCCTATTTTTCCAAAGAGAAAAGTTCAGCCACAGAACCAAGAGGTTCACCTGGGTTCTTCCCTCTCAGGGAGAACCTGAGAGGGAAGCCAAGTGCAATTTCCACTGCATTCGATTCTGCTGGAGTAGGAGAAGAAAGTACTGATGGAGTTTTCTGTTTGGCTTTAGAGCCATTCATTTCAGTAGGATGTGGTCATTTAAAGATCCTTTTCTTTGCAGGTAGCTCTAGGTCAGTGTAATGAGCTACTAGGGGCCAATCCAGAGGCAGAAGGATTACTTCAGGGCAAACACAGCACCAAGGGGCTAGGCAAGATGGCTCCCAGTCCTACGTGCGCCATCACCTTGTAAGTACTCAGAGCCTGGAGGGTCAGAAAACTCCTTTTGGCCAGATAAGACTCTCTACTTTCTCTATTCAAACTTCTGAACCAGAGGCAGATGTTGACACACATTCTTCCATTTGGCAGGAATGGGAGTACAGTGCCCTTAGGACCAGCAAGTGACACAGGAATTCTGAATCCAGAGGGTTATACCCTCAACTACAACGAATTTATTGTCTATAACCCCAACCAGGTCCATATGCGATACCTTCTAAAGGTTCGATTTAATTTCCTGCAGCTGTGGTGAATGTTGATATTAAACAAACCAGAGAAAATATGGTCTTCAAGCAAGAAAACAGGCAACGTTGTACTTTCGATTTTCTCATATTTTTTGTAATAAAGACAGTACAAATCTTCCACTGGCTTCTTCGGGCTTTACTTCTGCAAGCACATATTTCTTCTGATGTTAGTGTATCTTTATTTCCAGGACAGAAAATACAGCTTCTCTGCATATGCCACAGCTAGCTCTGCAGGTTACTCAGGATCCTGTTCTGTTCTTTCACAGCAGAATAGCCTCTGTGCATTGAGGGAGACTAATGGAGGTTAATGTTCTTCTCCATTTAATACAGTTTTTCTGCAAACTGGAGTTTGTTGGGTAGTAGTATAGGAAGGGTAGAGGCAGCAAAGACTGAATTGTTTCCCATACAAATCTTCTCACTTGCCTTTTTCCCCTGTTTACCACCTGTAGACCAGGTCTCCCACCACTTAGCATCCTAGGTCTCAGCAGATGTCCAAAATTTGGGGTAGCACTTGGAGGACTGTCACTAAGCCTAAATATATCTCAGGGAGGAAGGGAGAGAAGGAGAATGATTTTGATGTACCCCACTCCATCTAAGAAGAACCAAAGTCTAAAACAGATCCAGAGACTTCTTGACTATTTGTAAACACATGCAACAAAGATAAACACACACATACAACATACTTCCTTAGTAACAATGAAGATTATTTAAATGAAAACAATAGCTGGTAACTTTTTAGAGACCAGATTACCAATATCTATCAAAAATTTTAAATGTATACACCCTTTGACCTAAAAATTACAGATGTACATGTTTACATAGATGATGTCACTACAGAATTGTTATATGCAAAAAAACCCATAAATAAGGAACTAGTTAAATATATTCTCTCATTGAAATACTATGCTGCTGTTAAAACTAGACTATACACTTCAAAAAAATGTAAGAGAAGGGAATACTTCCCAACTCATTCTATAAGGCAGTATAAAACTAAACCCAGATAAAGATATCACAAGAAAATTATAGACCAGTATCCTGTAAGAATGTAGATACAGGTGCAGTGGTTAATAATCCACCTGCCAATACAGGGGTCACAGGTTCAAGCCCTGGTCCAGGAAGATCCCACAGGCTGCAGGGCAACTAAGCCCGTGAGCCACAACTGCTGAGCCCGTGTGCCACAACTACTGAAGCCCACGCGCCTAGAGCCCATGCTTCGCAACAAGAAGCCACCGCAATGAGAAGCCTGCGCACTACAACGAAGAGCAGCGCCTGCTCGCCACAACTAGAGAAAGCCCACGTGCAGCAATGAAGGCCCAACACAGCCAAAAATAAATACATTTATTAAAAAAAAAAAAAAAGAATGTAGATACAGGGACTTCCCTGGTGATCCAGTAGTCAAGAATCCACCTTCCAATACCGGGGACATGGGTTCGATCCCTGGGTGAGGAACTAAGATCCCGCATGCTGCGGGGCAACTAAACCTGCGTGCCACGACTAGAGAGCCTGAACGCCGCAACTACTGAGCCCGTGCACTCTGGAGCTCGTGCGCCACAACTAGAGAAGCCCGCATGCTGCAACTAGAGAGAGAAGCCCACAATGAAGAGCCCACATGCTGCAATGAAGACCCAGCTCAGCCAAAAAAAAAGAATGTAGATACAAAAATAAAATACTATCAAGCCTAAACCAGCAAACCATGAAAAAGGATTATACAGCATGACCAAATGAGATTTACTGCAGAAATGCAAGGTTGGTTCAACATACGAAAATCAACCAAAATTGATGGTTGTGACTTTTGCCAAATGTAGGGCAAAAGTCACATGACCATCTCATTAGATGCAGAAAAAGCACTTGGCAAAATTCAACACCCTTTCATGATAAACATTCAACAAACTAAGAATGGAAAGGACCTTCTTCAACCTAATAAAGGATGTCTATGAAAAACCGCAAAAAGACTGAAAGTTTTTCCCCAAAGATCAGGAACAAGACCAGGATATCTGCTCTCACCACTTCCATTCAGCATTGTACTGGATTCTGGGCACAGTAATTAGATAAGGAATACAGGGGAAAAGGCATCCATATTGAAAAGGAAGAGGAAAAACTATATTGGCAGATTACATGATCTAATATATATATATTAGATTACATGATCTAATATAAAAATCACTGAATTATAGGGTGAAAAACAGGACTCCCCTAACACCACTAGTCCAGTGCTTAAGGCTCCGGGGAAGGGGGAATGGGTTTGATCCCTGGTCAGGGAACTAGGATCCCGCATACTGTGCAGTGTAGCCAGAAAAAAAAAAAAAAAGGTGAAAATGAATTATATCTCAATTAAAAATGCTATACTGAATTTTTGTGATATATATTTTTCCTTTATAAATAGTGGCCAAAAGAGTTGCATTGAAATATACATACTATGAAGTTTAAGTAATAAAATGCAACAGGCTCCCAAACAGTAAAATAGACATTCATGAGTACATACTGATATGTGAATGACTCAGTAAGTAAATAAGTGGGGAAGAGGGGATAAACATTCCTTTTAGAAGAATTTCAATTAATATAGAAGGGCTGAGGGAAATAGAAAATCATCATTAGAAAATCACAGTAATGGGCTTCCCAGGTGGCGCAGTGGTTGAGAGTCCGCCTGCCGATGCAGGGGAC